GCCAGAGGTGCGATGTTGGTAAGAGACTTTGATTAAATATAGAGACAGAGGAAGGGGAAGGAGTGAGAAATGCACTGTAAATCAAAGACGGCACGACAGAGATGGAAAAGGGGGAGGTGAGTGGAAAAGTGCAACAACAAACACGTGTAATGATGAAAGACAGGGGAAACAAGGGGAGAGTGGTATTAAAAAAGACTTCAAGAGGGATAGAAAGAGAGAGATATGTGAATCACTGAGGGAGATTTCTTCTTTTCAAGGATATGGTGTCACTTACTGCCAGACAGGCTGCAGGTCAAGGGTGCGGACTGAGATTTGAAATGGTTGTCACCCTTGTACACACATATAATTAGGTGGTAACAGAAAGGAGAGAGAAAGACTGAGACCTACACTGAGCCATGTGTGGAGGTTTACCAAAGATGGAGAACAATGTGTTAGTGTGAAGCCAGACAGAGAGAAAACAGAGTATGCCTCCTTCACCATGCAAAACATGTTGACCTTAAATATATTTTAATATTTATAAAAAAAAATTTGAGCCAGAAACTTCATTAATTGGATGATGCCGAAAATGGCGTACAGACAATTTTGAAAAATCGATTTCTATAAATCTGACAAATTCATTTCTTTTCTCCTTATTTTTCTTGTTTGTGGATCAGTTTGAAATAATGTGAGATGAACAACTACACAGAAAAAAAGTCAAATGCAGAGAAAAGTCGGCTGATTAGACGAAACCTGTTGCCTTGAGCTGTTTAAATTAGATAACTGAATTATTTCCTGACTTAGTCAATACTCTTTTACCTCTTTACCTTTGGGCTCACTCCAAACTACATATCCTCTGGTTACCTTAACCGTTACTTATCGTGTATGACGACACACACCACCTGCTCTGATCACAGTCTGTGGAAGGAAGAGGGATAGAAAGACGGAGAAAGAGAGCGGTGTGAATCACAGAGAGTGATTTCCATGGATATGGTGTCATTCTCTGTCTGACAGGCTGCAGGTCAAGGGTGAAGACTGAGACTTGAAATGGTTGTCACCCACACACAGACACACATATAAATAAGGTGGTGGCAGAAAGGAGAGAAAAAGAGAGGGCGACAGTATATTGCAGCAGGTGCTGTGGTGTCAGGTGTGTGGCTGCTGGTGGAAAGACAAATGCTTGGAAATGAGCTGCATGGAAATTTCCATCAATTGACTTAGTTTGAGTTCCCACGTCAAACTGTTTGATGACAGTCAAACAAACACACACACACACACACACACACACCTGCACTCCTCACCCTCTCTGGTACAAACACAAATACAGACTCACTCTCTCTTTCCCTCCATCTCTCTCTCTCTCTCTCTCCTTGTTTATCTGTCTGCCTGTCCCAGAAGGAAATATCATCATCACTTGCAATTTCTTTTTGCAAACAACATCTCAGTCCGATTCTTATCCACCTGCTGGCCTGCTTTGCACACAGATTACAAACACACACGCACACACGAAAATAATGCATGGTCTCTGGGTCTAAACCTCTGTGGTCCACTCCAGGAAAATGGGTAATGCAGTTGCCATAGTTACCAATCATAAACAGTCTGGGCTGTCAATTACCCATTCCCCCATCCCCAAGTGCCATCTCCCAGGCAATACAACCTTCCTTCAGCCGGAATCACTATCAGTGTATTTATATAAATATTTCATATAATATATATATTTATATAAAAAGCAGCATTAGGTCAGTGAAGCAGAGATTCTTTTACCGGGTATCGTCATTATAATTAATATTGCTAATTGGTGCTGCTACCATTGTGGTGGTTTCCTCCAAACACATGCAGATTGGGGATAGGTTCATTGGAGACTCTAAATTTACCGCAGCTGCTCGCAGTGTGTTTGGTTGTTTGATTGTGTATGTCGGCCCTGCAACACCCTGCTGACTTTACCCCGCCTCTCACCCAATGTCAGCTGGGATAGTTTCCAGCTTCCCCTGCAACCTCCATAAAAATCTTCCTTACTATAAAAGTATCACTGTTACTATTCTCACTATAACAACCAGTCAGACTGTGCTTAAATACAACACTTACACAACTGTTTCTGGTTTCTCTCTCTCTCTCTCTTCGTCTCTTACTCCACCTCTCCCTCTCTCTCCTATTTTTCTCTTTCCAAACCAACTGGTCGAGGCAGATGGTCAGTCGCATGCCCAGGGTCTGTTTGTTCTGAGGTTTATTCCTATTAAGAGTTTTTCTCATCACTGTTGCAGCGTTTGCTCTCTATGGGAACTGTTGGCTTTCTCTATAAAAACATCTTAGGTCTCGATCTAACTCTGCTGCACCGTATGACTGTCATGCTCCGCGGCAACAGTATTTGCCAGGAGCTGATTCATGAGAACTAATTGTGCAGTTCTGTGTGACACTTACAATTATGTTAGAATTAGATGTAGAATGTTACAGATGCAGATTGAACACAATCTAAATTTACACTGTTTCCAATCCTGCTCTGTGGCTCATGGGCAGACCCACCAGCATAATAATCTATAATCATTCAGTTTTAATATTTTATGATCTTAAATGAAAAGTGAACTTCCTAAGAGTCTAAGGATATGAATTACACTTCCTGTCATGGGGAGAGAAATAATATATGTGCAAAAATGTTTTTTGCTCTCAAAACAGCTTGTGCCATCAAAATGAGCCGTAGGTCACACAGAGCATTGAAATGAGTTGATGTGCACACGAATCTCACCCTGAATACATATGAACTATTAGAGCAGCAGCCAAGCTCATCACAGTCAGGTTGAGTTAGTACCTGTCCAGGGCTGAGAACATATTTCTAACTACTACAGACAGACTGACAGGCTCAGGAACTTCTGGAAAGTCTGACAGCTGATCTTTGCCTTTGTTTGTCAGACAAGCCTTCTCCTGAAAACTTTTAGCTCAGGGTAGTAATCTCATGGGTTTTTAAAATAATAGGTGAACAAGGCCATATTTCATTTATTTTTGAAAAATATTGCACTGTCCCAGTCATGACCCTTTACAACAAGCATCTGTGCTGTCATGTTGCACCAGCTGGCTGAAAAAGCTCAGCTCTGTGTGCGTGCATGCCAGCTGGTTTGACATCACACAATGACTGTACATTTTTAACACTATTATGAAAGATAGGAGAATGAGGACAAAGAGGCTTCACTCAGACGCCTTGGATGAGTGAAGCATGCACAAATTATCTTTTGTGAGCAGACCTTTTGTAATCTGCCTAAACATCTGTTGGAAATACTGAGGAATCAACAGCATCCTGGCTTTGTGAGAGCACCCAGGTGGGCAGTGGTCGGATTTAATCAAGGTGACCAGAGAAAAAAAACTAAAACATGTGCAATGTTTGCATTATGTGCAGACTCTTTGAAGTCCCAGTCCACAGCCAATTACCTTCCAGAGCAAAATGATTTTAACCTGACAAATGTGTGTCAAACCACTTTTTCATCCTCATAATATCGTATAAATTGCATATTTATGTTTTTTTTTTTTTTTTGGTGGACCCCGCTAATATTTGCCACCGCAATGACCCAATTTCCTCACAGGGAAAACTCAGATATAATATTATCTTACCCCAAATTCATCAGCTAATCTGTGTCAAAGTGCAGAACTAAAGTTCTCAGTGACCTGAAGAGATGAGGATCAGATCATTAAGTTTGCTTGCCTCCAAAAAAATCAGAATAATTCGACCAAGCATATTAATACGTAACTAAATGAGGCTTTAAAGGTTAAGTATGCAGGATTTAGGGGAATCTAATGGCATAGATGGAACATAATATTCAGAATTATGCTTTCGTTAGTGTAATTAAAGGATGGATATGCTATGTTTTCCTCTTCTCTAGTGTGTTTTTTTGCATATGCTGCAGGTCTGTAAAAACCCCCACAGAAAACAAAGCTCCTGAAGCCCCACCTTGCCAGTAGTCCTGCCAGTACTTCAACACCATTGTGTGTTATGTGACATCACAATGCCCCACATTTGCATAATGCATACCTAGCAGCTAGTCTGGCATGCGCCCTTACAAAGCCAGGTAAAGACATTTCCTACATGAGCTGGCAGCAGTTGACCAATCACAACAAAGTGCAGACTGAGTTTTACCAGGAGGGCGAGGCTTAAAGAGACAGTAGCTGAAACCAAGCACTTCAGAGGCTGAAAAGTGAAGCTGCAGCAATGAACAGTGCAAAAGTGATTTGTTTTCTGAACTTTAGGAGTATAATATATCTTCTTTGAGAATCTTTTCGACCTCATAGCTACATTGGCTTCAGAACCTCTTAAATGGTAAATGTCTGTATTCATATAACACTTCTCTAGTCTGGATGACCAGTCAAAGCGCTTTACAGTAGAGTTTTTGCCATTCATCCATTCAAACACACATTCATAGAGTGCATCTATGTGCAGCAACTGGGGTTCAGTATCTTGCCCAAGGGCAGTGGGCAAGAATCTTGCTCAAGGAGCAGTCATCCGTTCTACCCTCTGAGACACAGTTGCCAAAACATTATGCTGAACTTTTTAAGCAGATTCCCAAACTGCTTCCATGAGAGACTTCAGGGCACGATGCATCATCAGTTCACATACTGCTGTGGAAGGCAAACAGAGCATTGTTTGAAATGTGTCACACTGTACCATCAAGTGACATCTGCAATTCAGACTTATTGACAGAAGCTCTGGTGAGTGTGGGGAGCTTGCAACTTTATAGACACATAAACTTTTACCCTTGAGATATCTCTATTCCTCTCTGTTCCATCAAGAGCAACAGCTTGATGGGATTTAGAGTTTTGCCTCTATAACTGCCACCCACCTCCTGGTCTAATAAGAGGTTGATAGAGTTCTATCGATCCGGTCAGTGCGTGCATTCGGTCGAGGTCGAAGCTTTTATATTGTGCTTTACGTGCCTAATGTCTGTGTCTTTCTGCCAGTGTGATTATTTATTCCCCATCTCCCTCGTTTCTTCTGTCATTCATCTCATTCATTGCCTTTCTTTTTCCTATCTCTCTCCCTCCAGGGCAAACCAGGAATACCCAGATATCCATCCAGCTCATCATCTACGGACAACCGGTGTGAGACTGAGTGATGTCCAATCAGACGTAGTCGAGCTACTAAGGAGGGCATTAATAGGAGGACATTGAGAGCTGATAGCCTTATTGGATATTGAATTTCTGTCTCCACCTCCCACATACAAACTTTCTCATACTGCCACACATATTGACTTGGAGTAAAAAATAAAAAGCAGTATTCTATTGGATATAATCCTGCTCTCGTTGGCTGATGTCCTTGTTTGCCTCCATCCCATTCAGCTCCTCAGGGGGCTGAGCCAACCTGCAGAGGAGTATGGGCAGGAGGGTGGCTGACCCAACTAATCCGGTGCCTGCGCTAGGGATCCCCCTGGCAGGGGGGCGATGGGGCCCACTGTGCAGTGTCGGGGTGCAGACGTCTCCCGGACTGCGATTTCTCCCCTCCATCAAACGACACAGCAGCCAGCCAACCAACGCACACACCCCCCTCAACGTGACAACAGACAAAACAACGACAGCAGAGGCAGGGGGAGTTATCAAAAGTGACAGCAACAGTCTGCCGGGGTCCAAGGAGACATCTCAGAACGAGATTAACAGCCTGACACAGGACGATATGGGGTCACAAGGGTCAGGCAGTGGAGTTTACTGCCAGATCAAAAGTATTCGGACAAACCCAAAGGACACAAGAGGTAAAAAGACAGCTCGGTATACAAATGGCAGTATTGTAGCATCTGATATGGTGGGAGGGGTTTGCACTGAAGCAACAGAGGGTAAGGAGCCGGCCTGTGAGAGGAGGAGGGTGCAGTCATTGCGCGGAGAGGGCCATCGTACTGTTTTAAAGACGGGGAGTGCTTGTATGGCCGTGCACGCCACCCCACCTCGGCCCTGTCGAATGATGGCAAATTCCCCGGTTCGCCTCTGCGAGACTTGTGGGAGGAGGCGATCACAGATTACACCGTGCACAGGGGCATGTCGCAGGCGGGCTGTCAATCAAATCACAGCCAGCCAGACTCTACCTAATCCGCCAAGGAAACCGTCCGTGGCCCCCAGCCACCACTCAAAAAAGGACTCAGTTGTGGACGCTCAGTCGAACACCAAAAAGACAGACACAGCAAACACCCCAACACATACATTAGTCAAACCGTCTCAGATACCACAGCTGTCACACACCATACCAAAAACACACGGCTCACATTCCAACCACGCATCACACAGTCAGAACAAAACAAAGGATTCAAAGCAGCAGACGAGGCCACATTCTGCAGACTTCACTCATTACAAGGACTCAGCCACACAAACAATAGACACAAACACGCATAACAACACAGACATGTCCACAGCTACACATACACAACAAGAACACGCACCAACTGCACAGGGGACACAATCACAGTCCACTGACAAACACAACAAGGCTAAAATCCAGCAAGCCGATAAAAACACACACCAACACACAATTGTCCATATCGCATCTCAACCTGCAGCTGCTTCCCTTAACGGTGACTCAAAGTCTACCAACACTCCACCTCTCCCACCGAAATATTCTCCGAAAACCACACCTTCCAAACCATCCACACCTGTTGCACAAACCAAAAACACACAGGAGGCACCACACACTCCCAGAAAAACATCCTCAGAACGGATCAAACTCAAGGACTACACAAAACAGAAGAGCAAATCATTCGACGACCACACACTGCCTTGTAAGACTCATATGAAAGCACAATGTAATGGGGCTCCGGGAGGATTGTTGGCAGGACACACGGGGAATGCACCGCGAGGGATAGAGAGGCAGCTGCAGAGCGTGGAGGAGAACCTGATGTCCAATCAGGAGAAGATCAAGGTGCTTCTCAACGTCATTCAAGACCTGGAGAAGAGCAAGGCCCTCAGCGAAGGGTGAGATAAAGGGAGGTAGGGAGGGAATAAATTGGGAGATGGGGGATGTAAGAATATAATATATGGGGGGTGGTTTGGCTGCTTGGGGTCCTTTTGTGTGGAGTTTTCATGTTCTACTCCAGCCTCCTCCCATAGTCCAAAGACATGCATACTAGGGTGAGGTTTATTTAAGACTCAGCATTGAAAGTTGTGAATGTGAGTGTTGTTTGTGCCTGAGATGGGCTGGACACCTGTACCCTGCGTCTTTCACAGTGTCAGCTGGGATTGAAAGTATAATGAATTGATGGATAAAAGAGAATGGTAAACAGATACCTGAGTGTGAAAAGAGGGAGAGATGAGGATAGAGAGATGACACTAGTTCAAAACCAAGGCTGGACCATGTAATGTGAGAAATTGAGGACACGGTTGTGGTTGAGGAACCACTTTTAACAATTTCTTCAGATGGAAAGTAGCTACAGCTCAGAAAGTCACTGTCGCCCGATGGTGTATCACACTAATTAGCATTTTGATTACGCATTGAGCGTTCTGCCTCGTGTCAGCCAGTTTCAACCCTTTATGCGTTTGCTGCTCTCAAACTCCCCATGCTCACATTTGCAGTATTTTTACACAGCTGAATTCCCCATAAAGCTGCTCTCATTGTCATGTTTTCCTCTCTCTGGTGTCAGACAACAGAACACGTAAACACAGCCCATTAAGACTACACATTGAGCAGCAGCCACTTCCAAACCATTTACCAGCTGCTGCTCAGCACACATATAATATTTGCAACTGAAAGGTTATTTGGCAAAATCACCAAACACATAAGTAAGGGACAATGGCTGTACTGTGACTTCAGTGACTTCATCTTATCTTCTGTTTGAGAAAGTGAAAAAAACATTTCTGGAGCCGCACCAAAATTGAAAATAAAATAAGATAATTCTTTATTAGTCCCACTGAGGGGAATGAATGGGTTCTTCTAACTCCTGCTTGGCAGAGGTAATCACCACTCAGAAGGAAGTTAGAAGCTCATACATGTCTATGTCAGCAGCAGCATGGTTAAGGGAATTGGACGCATAGAGAGATGTGCTAGCAGATGGAACGCCTGATGTGCAAACTTGGGGGAATACTGTGATTCTCTGCTACGGTTTGTCCAAAAGTCCCTCCCTTTTTACTGCAGCCTTCATTTAGTTGAAACAGGGTGTGAAAAGTTGGTAAATCTAATCTCCCAGTAAACGCACCCTGATGATGTAAAAGAAACTGTAGTCTGTGGTCAGTGAGGATGTTCCAACACTCGGCCGGTCGATCGGTGGTGTAACATTCAGCTGACTATAGTGGTACAGCTTTTATCAGTCAGTCAGCTTGTCAGTGACAGACACAAGACTTGCCTCACTGATGCCAAGCAGCAAAGAAGATAAAGGAGAAGTTGAAATATTCACTGCAAGAGCAAGTGTTTAAGAAACAGAGAGAGGTTGGGAGCTGGAGGGATAAAGAGAAGAGAGAGAGAAAGGGAAGAGAGGGTGTCAAGGGAGTCCACAAGATTGAGAAGAGAGTGCGTTTGAGTTTTTATGGCGATATATTGTGTACACTGACACAAGTTCAAGTCTGTGTAATAGATTGTAAATGTCAGGGCTGTGGAGAATTGCTGTAGTGTGTGTGTGTGTTTTCGTGTGTGTGTGTGTGTGTGTGTGATCCAATCCTACTGGGATACATAATACATGCCAGCCTGAAGTCAATATTAGCAGATGCTTATATCTCCTTTTGTCCTTTTACCTTATATACCCTGTAGGATTTATAGTCCCAGGTGGAACAGTGTCCCCTTAGAGACACCGTGCTGCCCACCAAAGCATATTCACTTCTTTCTCTCTCCTGCTGATTATTTCATCCTCCTGCAACACATCCTTCCTTTCTCTCATCTATACATCCCAGCTGGTTTCCCATAGTCACTTAATTTCGATCAATGCCCTCCTCTATCGCCGAGGCTCTTTAGCCTGTGTCTCGCGATTCATCGTATTCTCCACCACACTCTCTCCTGTCATTCCCTCATTCATAAATAATGAATTTTCTCCCTCTCTCCTCATCTTTCACCTCCTTGTATATACTGAACTCCTCTTCCATCCTCTGCCCCATCACAGTTTTTTGATTTTCTCCCTGACAAAATCTCCATTGTTGTCAGATGTTAAGTTTCATCCTCCTATTGCTTTCCACTCCTCATCCTGCTCTTCACAAATACACCTAGTTTTTCTCCTAGGTGCTTTTACCATATTTCTGTCTTCCACCATTTATTCACACGTTTCATTAATGCGATAAATACACAGCTTACCTTGACCTCTCATCTAATCTCTTTCATAACAATAATGTTCCTATATCTCCATAAGCTCTCTCTCCACATGTTTTTATTCCTTCCATTTCTCTCATCCCTGTTCAGGGTTAACAGATGTCTCTAGCTCCAGACTAATCTCCATCAGATTACCTTTGAGGAATGCAATTAATGTTTAAGCTGCACAATAAGGCTCCTAAACTCAGTGTACATGTTGTTCTGCCCCGAGTCTGTGACTGTATAAGATTATGTATTCATATCCTTCAGTGTGTGTGTGTGTGTGGTTGCAAAGATGCTAATGGATTATACTAAGTGTGTGAGACAAATAGGGTAAAAGAGGCAGAGTGAGGAGGAAGAAAGAGTAAATGAGAGCTGGTGAGAAAAAGACATAAAAGTAAGAGTTGGAGGGCCTGTGTGGATCTGATGTTGTGAATGAAAGTACTCTAAGCGGGCCGCTGTGTTAAAAGTGTCGGCTGAGCTCAGCTCCTTGTTTTCTCTTCTCTCCTAAAGCAAATCGTTGTCTTCTCTTGCTGTTGTCGTCTTTGAAAAAGACTGGTAGGGGAGGGAGGAAAAAAAACAGGATGCCAGTCACACAGTCTCTCTTGATGTAATTAAAATGTCAACTTTATCAATATAAATCAGACTCTCTCTCATCTAATCAGCTTAGTACAGGGGAGGCCAAAGAAATCTTGGCATCGATGAAGAGTTTTAATTACATGACAGTCAGAATGAGCTTGTCAGATGTTTGTTTAAATATCTTGTATTCTCCAACACTTCTGCACTGTCTTTTAGATCTGTAGCCCTGTTCAAACTTGATAACACAGTCCGCATGGGTGATTCGCAATACACATGAATAACCAAGAACAAGACCTCCCTGAAACAATGCTTAGAAACTGTTTCACCTGCCTGGAATACAAAACACAGGTTTTTACCCGATTATTCAGGTCTTGCATAGTCCTGTTGGGGTACGTCACATGCACTGAATATTACAAGCTACAGTCGATTGTTGCTGTACATAGTAAGTGTAGCTGGAGAGAGCAATAGTTGGGACTCCAGCAGTCAAGAGAGCGAGACCCTTTCCGCTCTAGGAAAGCTTGGCCCACTGTACGTGCAAAAATTTGTATTCTTACAATTATTTACCCATATTACATCACTGTATCGTGTTGAATTGAGTTGTTTAAAAGATCTGTCACTTTCCTTTAGTGTGTTATGGGTTTTTTGTGAAGGTAAAAGTTCTGCAGTCTGCCTTTAATGAATGTTCTGCCCCTGAAACACCCTGTCAGCAGTCTGGCCGATACTACTGCATCATTGTGATGGAATGTGACATCATGATGCCCCACATTTGCATAGTGCATGCTTATCGGGTGGCCTGCAGATTCCTTACCAAAGCAAGATAAAGCGAGAGCAGAGGCTGACACTTGCTACATGTGCTTGAAGTGGATGGCCAATCACAACAGAGTAAACCAGCAGGCCAATTAGAGCGGACTGGGTTTTATTGGGATGGGGGCCTCAAAGAGACAGGAGCCAAAAACAAGCATTTCAGACAGAAGCTAAAATGTATGATGGGCAAGCTCACACAAGCACGGAAAAGACAAATGTAAAAATCATAACACAACTGTAAGAGCTACACAACAGAAACACAACCACAGTGAGGGCATGATGAAAATGAGACAAGCCTTCTTACATACATTTGTGAAAATCCAGTCAAGCCAGCAACCGCTTTACGTAGTGGTTGTGCTATGACTTCTCCATTTGTGTTGCAGCTTTTGCGTTCATGTTTTCCATTAATGCTCTCGTGTGAGACGGCTCGACCACAGTAGAAAAGAGGAGCCACAGAAATAAACAATTTGAGAAAAGTGAGGTTTTCTGAACATTATGTTAAGCTTTTAAAATAATAACCAAAATTAAAATCATGAACCGCAACTCGAGCACATGTCTCTTTGTGTTATGTTAAAAACATCATGGTGGAATTTGTTATGTGCAATCTGTCATGCACCATTAACATGAACACATGTTCAACTTAACTTCAGCAAAAGTGTGTGAACGTTTTGCATCTGTTGTTTTCTACAGTCGCAGCTCGTACAGAACTGGTCAGGACATAAACAACTGCCCCACCTGCCAAAAGACGGCCTGCATCATCTACAGGTAATGAGCTCAGTGCATTACATAACCCAACAATGACTAATCATTCTTAACATAATCAGATCTGAAGCTTCACCCTGAAAGGCTTTTGTATAGCTTTGAAAAATATTCCACTTCCTGTTGTTGTTTTCCAGGTTTTATCTCATATTTAGCACATCTCTTCTTTTTTCATTACCCTGGTGTCCTGCTGCCGCTGCCCGTTTCTCCCACTATAATAACTGCACAACCCATAAAATATATTCCTAACATATGAAAAACCTAAGACTCAGAGCGATGCGGTTTATATTTCAGGAGGAACACATGCTGGAAGGAAGCTATTTACACATAAAAGAATGTTGTGTGCAAACAAACAAATTAAGCAAATGATGTGTCTTTGTGCAGTCTTCCCTCGTGTGTGTGTGACCTAAATAGTAATTGCATTCTTAGATCCTCTAAGACCCACAGAGCTGCACCTCCACAATCTGATACAACGCACTGTAAATCCATCCCCAACTCTGCCCCATCCTTCTCATTATTCTCATTCCGTAAATCTTGTCATACGATGCATGCTCAGGCTCTCTCTCTATCATCTCTGACTTTTGATCAAACTGCTCATCTGTGGCTCATCCTGTCTGACGATTCCCGGAGCTATAATCACATGATCCCCCATTCCCACAAACCGCCAACACAGCGCTTTCTCTGTCTGCCTCGCTCACACAAACTGTAAGTATTTCACATATATACAGTAGCTTCATGGAGAATAGATAAACACAACATAGAAGATACTTCAACTTGTAACTGGAATACTTTGGTATCAAAACCTCATTTTAGTCCAATACGATTCATATGCATGAGCGTTTGAAGCAGATGCTTGTTTACAATCTCATAAAAATCTCCCTCACAGGCCACAAAGGATAAAAACACATTTTCAGCGCCTTTATTCCAAATCTCCCAAATTCCCAAAGTCTCTTGTCTCCCAGCAGCTCCACATCTACATCTTACCTGTACTTTTACTTTAAATTTATGTAATTTAATCTCATTTGTACTGTACAACATGTCTGCTATGTGCATCCAAGCCCAACACCCCCTCCTCTGCTCTCATCCCCCTGGCTCCTCCCCTGGATTTTAATTACCACAGCAGGATCCTCAGCACAGGAAGTTAATGAACACCAGAGAGATAGGACTGCCACATGGTAGCTTACTCATACATATACAGTGTATATTGCTACTAACATTTTATATATATACTAATTTTAGTGTAAAAGCGTTGATGAAGATACATTTCAATGGAAAAAAAAGCTTCTTAAATCTCAAACTATTGAAATCTTCAAATCTCTTGCAGTCTAAGAAACTAAGTACAAGTAAAGCCTTACATATTCTTAAAAAGACAGTGGATATGCAGTCGCATACAAAGAAACTAGTCAAAAACACCATCTAGGACACTTTAATATTTCTTAGGTCATCATTATTTTGTGGGGTTTTTAAAAGAGTAAGAGAGGACCCCCATCTAAAAAGTATTTTCTCTCTCCTCAGTTTGAGATTATGTCATTTGTGTTCCACTTTCCCTTTGTTTTTCTTGGACACACATGTATGATCACGTACACGCATGTCCTGATTAATCCAGCGATGAGGGAACTCAGCGTATATTAAACACATCTATGCATACATGTCACATATACTGCGATTTACACACTCATACTGACAAAGAAAGAAATGAATACATTTCACGCTGCGTAGACATACAAAATCTGCTTTGCAATTATATTTCTTCTCATTTATCTATTCAAGTTTCTATACATACATTACATAGCCTATGCCGGAAAAACACATTTTCCGCAGCCCATTGTGATAAAGACGCACAAAAGACAGAAGTACAATAGCTCTGTTTGTTTGATTGGACAGTAACAGCCTTATCAAACCCTCAGAGAGGACATTGGGTAAAGAGTATGGGAGATAGGGAAATAAAACGTACAAGCGAAGGATTAATTACGCGTGGGACTCAAACATCCATCCTAAAGATTTGGTGATGGAAAAGAAAAATGGTTTTGATGTGGGCTGGCTGCCTGAAGATGTTTTTGCTAATTAATTTGTCTGAGGAGAGGAACGTTTGACAGCCCCTCTGTTTTTCTCTCAAAGTTTAAACAGCTCAGACACATAAAGAAATGCACACACAGGCACAAATAGTAACACCTAAAGGTATTCTCCACCTAAGCATGACCCACATCTGCACATGCAAACCTTACCTCTGACTTTAACCTTCAAGATTTAACTGTTTCTCATAAGAGCAGGAACCGAAAGAACACACAGTCATGCTCACACTTGCAGAGATGCTGAAGATGACAGCTCGCGCAACGGATTAGGGGCAGCAGGATTTCCCACTGTGCCGTAATCCCACAAACAATGGTGTGACAGGGAGAGATATTGGTAGAGAGAGGTAGTGAGGTAGAGAGGGAGAAACTGAGAGAGGACAAAGAAAAGTTATCACTCTAAAACAAGACTGCAAATTGACTCAAAGTGCAGATGCATCACTTCACTGTATTTATATTTTGTGTGTGTATGCCAATATTTTCTGTTTGTGTAGTCACAGTACATCTTCATCATTTATTCATGACAGCCATCTCGGTTCCTCTGTGCCCATCAGAGCTTTTACTTCCTCCTACGTTCACTCTTTCCCTCCATCCCCTTCTCTGAGAGCATGAACCTTTCTGCCCTCCTCTCACCCCACCTCTGGTTGCAGTCCTCCACTCCTCCTTTACCTCCCTCTGTGTTTTTTTTGTTTACCTCCTTTATTTTGCACTGAGTTCTCTGCTCTGTTTTATGAAAGTATTTTTTTTCATTTACCCATCCGTCCATTTCCCAAAAGAGATGATTTATTTCCCCTCTCTGTCCATGAGTCCCTATGCATCTTCTTTATCCCTCACTCAGCCTTAGGCTTGCTGTGAAAAATGCATACGTGGACGTCAGGGGAGGACATATGTGTTTGTATAGAGCGAGTGTGTGTTGGGATACAGGAGGATAGGTGTATGGGTAGTAGTCTCACCATGTGGTTAGTTAACACTATAGCTTGGCCACACGCCCGCGCACACACACACGCACACACACATGCACACACATAAAATACAGTTAGCAAATGGAGAGAAACTATGACCTGCAGCGGTGGACACTTCAGAGAGCTGGTGAGAAAAGGAGCATAAGAAATAAAGCCAGAGGGTTCTGCTTTGAACACATCAGAGGAGGAAAAAAAGTTCCTCCCTCGCTCCTTCTTTGAGCTTCTCCATTTTGCAAATGCTCCTCTCCTTTCCTGCTCTCTTTCTCCTTCCACCAACCTGTGATCTACCGATGCATGAAGCACAGAAGAATACTGCAGAGGTGAAATTAGTGCTTAGTCAAGGCCTGTGTGAAAGCGTCTGGGTGTGTACATCCTGAAGGTGCAAAGATCAGGGATAAGAATATAACAGGATTTTACATTTCCGTGTAAAACTGTGTTCAATTTAAGTACAACCTCTTTTTAAAGTGCTTTGTGTGAGTACATTTTAATGCTCATCTTACGCTCAGTCTCTCTCTCTTTCTAACTTGCATCCTTCTGCTCTTCTTCTCTCTCTATACCCCCTCATGGAATCTCTTAAGGTTTAAAATGAGCTATAGGCCTACAAATAAATTTGACTCGATTTGCCACTTACCCGGTTTCTAAATCAAGCACCGACTGCCTCCCCTCGTCCCTTTCTCCTCCGCTATCAACTTCTCTCTCATTTGCTCTCCCCCCACAGCGTGGAGCATGATTTCCGACAGCAGGAGGGACGCTTCCAGGGAGTTATGGAGGCCCTGGACGGGGAGTACGATGTGCCTGCACCTGCTCTGACCAAGCCCACGCTCATACCAACCCCCTCCAGCCGCCCCGGCACCAAGGCTCGTGTCAAGAAGCTGCGCAAGAAGTGTTTCTGGTGGCTTTGAGCGGTGGAGAAAAAACATAACAGCCTTTATGGGAAGCAGGCGCATAAACGTGTGGATTATGTTTCCTGGGACAAAAAACGTTCTAACTCTCTCGTGGTCATTTTGGGTGTGTAGTGTGTATAAGTGTCATCAAAATCAGGAGGGAGATGTAAATGGCGCTTTTTTTCCATAGCAGTCATTCGTCATCTTTGACAAAACACACCAGGGATCAGGTAGAAAAAGAGGAAATGCTCTAAAGAAGGAAACGAGAGCCAAAGGAACTTTCCTCTCAGGTCTGTCTGAGCAGGAGGAAGAGATCATCATGACCTTCTCTCAGCGGGAGCCAGAATCTCACGACTAATTTGTGATTAACATTTGACTAAAGGTGATGATACTGTTTTCTAAATATGAGTTGTGTGACAAAGAGAAAAGGGGTTGACACTCTGGATGATCGATTGTAACTTGGCTGACTGGCTGTGAATAGATGTATGAATGGAGTCATGCCAACACGGATTCATGCCCACAGCCGGGAACGAGTCTTCACAATTATTTTGGCTAAACTACAGCAATAAGGAGGAGAATGTGAAGAATGTGGAGTACAGTGTCTTCAAATGGCTTCACAGCCTCAAACCTGAATGTAGCAACAAATGAAGAGCTGAGAGGATATGAGCAGGAGAGCCTCCTGAGCTCTCTGGAAACGGACGGCCGCTGGATGGATATCAGGGTTTAGAGAGCACCATTAAGAATACATTAAGAGACATAAGGATAGGCAGCTGATCTAAGACTGACCGGTTGCATCAGTTCATTTCAAATTCTATCATCGTTGACAGACAGAATGATTGATTCTGTCCTTTATTACCATCCAAAATGGAAGTGTGTTGCTGTAATCTCAATCGAGTTTCAAGGATTTCCACACAGACGTGCATGGATGCACACATTTGCAGGCATTCTCTCACCCACACACCCACACACACGGGGTAAAACAATCAGTCCATACTGACCGGTGCAAACTAAAGGTCGACCAGTTATCAGTTCAAGTTTAATGATTGGCCTGTTCCCATGTTATTGATGAAGATTGTCCTTATTCAACGTTGTGTGGAATCATGGGCGTACATGTAATTTAGCATCCACCAACATGTCCAATGACCAAGGACATTTACCAATCTTTTTCTTATTCCAAACAGAAAACCTTCACTTGATCACATTAAATATACTATTGGTAATTTGCATATAGCTCTATATCTGTTCTGTAAAGGTCCATCAAAATACAACAGAGAACATACGCTGCATCTTACCAAAAAAACAGTATCGGGTCAAGTTATGTTTTCCCATTTAAAAGTGATCATTTAATCAATTAATTCATCAATAACAATTTCTTTGTAAAATGAAAACACAATAATTGAATATTATCAGATAGTTTTACAAAAGAAATGTAAAAAGGGTTTGTCCTTCTTGCAAACACACCTGCTGCGTTATTTAACGCACACACCAACAGGCACACACACACACACACACACACACACACGCTCCCTTCACAGCAGTTTAGAACCCGCCCACTAATCTCACAAGGGCCCACTTCAGCTGCTCGATAACAAGTAGCCACCAATTAGAATCCTGGATTACACCACAATAATTAACAAACCAATCAATATCCAAAATCCTTGGCCCCTGCATTTTTATAAGCTGTCCCAAAGTAGTGTGAGCTCCCACTTTGTCCCTCTCTTCCTGATCTTCCCCTTGTATGTTCAATAAAAGTGTGTATTTTAAGCAAATGTACTGTTGTCAACGTACTTTGTTTTCAGAATGAAACGACATGGATGGAGAGTGGACTTGTTTATGAAGACATTAAGGAAGATTATGCAAAGTTTGACCCATCTGTTGACCCACAGATAGTCACGCAAACTGTATGTGGTGCATATACAAAGCTGCATGTACTCACAATCAGGGCGTGCTCACGACCCATTGTGATGACTGTCTGGTTAATGATCCTCAGCAGAGACACCACGATGTCCTGGATGTGCTGAAATGTTTCCCCCTGAGGAAAAACAGAGACGGCGGGCAGGGGAAAGATGGAGAGGGATGACAGAGGAGGATGGAGGTTAAAAAACAGATCAAGATTGTTAGATTTCGTCAAGTATGAACTTAAACAAAAACACACAGATGCAGAACAGTCTGCATCTTCCAGACTTTGCAGACTCGTCAGGTTTTGTTTGTTCTGAATGGATGGATGGCTGATCAAATGAAACATGGAAGAGAATAAAGTTCTCTGAATCTCAAATTTAAAGTCCACTCAATTTTCCAAAAAATGATGCAGACCATCATTTAGTTTATAAACGTCAGTGTAGACATTTGAACCATAAAAGGCTGCTGACATTTTTCATGTTTTCATATTCTTCTTGTTCTCTTCCCTTTGATGCAACTTTCCTGTCAGGTTTCTCTTTCTGCATCCGCCCACAGGGAAAGGAAATGGATGAGACGTAGTGAAAACTGTCATTGTGTTCAGACCCATCTGTTTCCTAGATACAATTTTAAAATAACTGTTTATGGCTAAGTGTTGATAGTGGCAGCTTAACTTAAGTGAGAGCCTTCACACAAGACCAAATGCATTTTGGTTGTTTAGTCCATTTACGGCAAAAGAAAACTGCAAATAGAGTTTGCAGCTATTCCAATGGTTGAGCCAGGGAGATAGGAGTCTTTCAAATGATATTCATCTAAAGTTAATACTCTCATGGTGGAGATGCCGACTGATGCTCTAAATATTGGAGAATGACAAGTCCTTTAGAAAATGCAATTTACTGAAGATCCACAAGTTAATTCACAAAACATTCAAATTTTTTAATAAATACTGGAAATTCATAGATTCTGAGGAGATTCATCAAGATATTATTATTATCATCATGCGATTGATGACCTGGATGCACTTTAATAGGAATGGGGCCTGAATAAGGACACATTCAAAATGGGATAATGGCCACACACACACACACACACACACACACACA